ACTGAAATATTAAAAAAATGAAAACAAGTAAAGAACATAACTTAGAATAAAACTAATAAACTAAAAGACTTCATAACAATAAGGTTCTATTTTCAATGCGTATGTTTTTATGTACGTTTACCGATTTTCGGAAACGGCTGAACCAATTTAGTACGTATTCGTAAGTGATATTTTCCTATTTAATAGGCTAATTAAATATTTTAATTTTAAATTAAGGCCTTTTTAATACCTCAACGGCGACTTCTTTAAATTTGAGAAAAATGTTCCTCCCATGGGGTTAGAAAAATAGGGAATTAAGTTTTATTGTAATTATTTCGAAGACTTTCTTGTTACCTTCAGCTTATGATATCCACTCTCGTAAAAATCCACTTAAAAAGTTAAGGAAATAAAACTTTTAATTAAAATTGAAAACCGACTTCAAAAACTAAAAAGAATGATAACTTTCACATGCATGCATTCATTCATCATTCCAGCCCTTCACAAGTCCACTGCTATACATAGCGCGACCTTGAACGAGCTGCATCCATCGATGTCTTATCAGGTCGTCTCTCCATTTAGTGGGGGTCCGCGCTACACTTCCTCTACCGGTACGAGGCTACCACTTGCGAACCTTTCTTACCCATCGGTTGTTGGTTATCCGAGTTGGTGGTCATATACCAGCCCATTGTCACTTTAGCTTACTAATCCGTTGAGCTATGTCGATTACTCTGGTTCTACTGCGGATATCCTCATTTCTTAGTTTATCACACAGAGAAATTCTGAAAATAGCCCTTTTCATAGCTCAAATTTCATAAAAGATAATTTATTCACATAATATTCTTCCCAACTTTTAAAAGAAGGAAAATATATATATTATGATCGAACAAAAGCATCAAAACGGTAAGACATATGGATCACGAAAGTTAGAATTAAATAAATCATTTTAGGTCAATACCTACGTATTGTCATGCTAATATTTGTGTTGCCTTGTGGCATTCTTTTTGGTATGCCTATGTTCAGCAGTAGATTTGTGAAGGATGTAATGATGATGATGATGAAATATTTATAAGTATTTCAATTTCACACTAGGTAGGTACTTAAAACATTATAATTTAGACACATTGCTTATTCAATAAAACTGATTTTAACCCATGGTCACGGGGGTAAAAGCACCCGAAACGTTATAATGAGTTTTAAAATGATTGTATCAAAAATTACATTACTAAACCTATGTCACACATAATTATTATCGTCATTATTGCAGCTCATCACATATCTACTACTACACAAAAGTGTATGTTTAAGAAATGACTTCCTAAACCTGGTCTAAAGTACAGTCTTATGTTGTATTATATAATCATAATATATTTTACATGTTAAGGACCACACTCTCACATAATAGCAGCATAAAATAGCAGTATTGCTATATTATTTCAAATGGAGGGTATAGAGAACCGGAAACCATTTTTACTGACAAGACATTCGATCTTAGTCCTCAGGTCTGACAACGCATCTGTATTATCTGATCCATCAGCATGACTTTTAATCAGGGATAGATATAGGTTTCTAAAGGTATCATTAAGTGGTCTGTGTGCTCGTTTGTCACATTTATGCTATGAAAAAACGACCCAGTCTCTCGCAATCTGTGGTATTTTTTGAACATTTTAATTAGCTTGAGATATGCCTATATTAATACGTTTTACATATAATTTAATTTTCTTTTTACTTTCTGTTGCGCTTAAGTTGGTTTTGAGAACAACAGCGTAAAAGGTATGAAATATGCCGATGTTAATTTACCTCACAAGCCTGATGGCGTTGGTAAATCTACTCTAAAAGTTCTGGAGTGTATACTTAGGAACTTAGTTACTACTTAGGAACTTTACTTACTCAGGAAATTATAATAGTAATAATTCATCCTTATATATCATATCTGACAGTTACTGTTATTAATACTAGATAAATTTTTGTAATGAATCATAAATCATTTTGTAATGAACATCGTTAGAAATCCCTGCGAAATAAAAATATTTCGGAAACATGTGAAGGTTACCAACGCGCAATGGAGCAGCTGGAGCAACCATTACCATTACTATATACCAAGTCTAATGCTAAACATGCCCCTCCCCCCCCCCACATAGATTGTTTTATAGGCGGGATATTTGATACAGTTGCCTCGCTTGGAAAGCTGGATGGTAATTGCAGTTTTCTATTTTTATCATAATTTCTTTGGAAAATGACGCCATTGCGTAATGCCGTTTTCTAGAGAAATTCGGATTTTGTTACTATATTCATGCTGTTTAACGTAAGATGCGATAAAGGTAATAAAAAAACTTGTCACATAATCATATAATAAAAAGTCATATAATAAAAATCTCGATATGATCAAAACCGACGTATATCATTTGCATTACAGGCCAATATTTACTGCTGAACACAGTAGACTGGATGGGAGGGCCATTGATTGCCTCGTCGGGGCGACATTTTACATAGTTGCCACAGTTGGAAAGTGATTTTACAATCACAGTTTTGTAGTTTTATTCGCTGATATGAAGAAGATGCCGCTGCTCGTCTCTAGGCTCCATTTCCCTCTGTTGATCCTAAGATACCCAGGGGATGATATGGAGTCTTGAGTAATCTTACACTGCCACAATCCGGTTAATACTTCATTTATCATATTTTAGTCGGAGATTTGAATCCAGATTACTTAACTTTCCTACGGATTTCATTTTTTTCTTATTATCAATTTTGTCTTAAATCTTTATAACTACTAAACACTAAACATAATTGTGTTTCTATACTAATTGAATGTAATTGCATTTTTCAATCTTTTTTTGGTATTTACAAAAACTGTAACGGTTCTAATATTGTAAGAAAGCACTTGAACCGCTAAAGTTTTATAAATTTCTACTTCAATAAATCGAAATCTCGTACTATATTCATATCGAAGGTATCATAAGTAAAAATGCTTGAAATGAATTGTCCAATATCGAAAAATAAATTGAAGCGATCTCAGCACACATATTTTAACAGGTTGAATTTATTCAAAGCGATTATGATGTTAAGATCGCTTTTATGGAGTTGTCTTTGGCATAGATCTGTTACACTATCTAACATATAAAAAAAAATATTTTTGCTTGTTCGTACTTTATGCGCTGCCAAACCGTTCATCAGATTGCGGTAAACCTTGTCAACATATTATTGCTCGCATTTCCGCGAAGGTTATAGGCATAGTTGAACCCGGTATATAGCACTGTTGTAGAATCCAGATATCACCTTTGCAAAGCGGGGGCAGATCCCTAGTATTTAAATAAGATTCTTTAAATAACGAACCCTTTGACATAATTTGAAAATATATACTTATTATTCAGATCAATGACCCAGAAAATAACATCTACCTGAATACAGATTGCTTCACATTTACATAATGCGTTACATTCATTTTGTAAGCAAACAATGTATAATATTGTACAAAAATAATTCCTAAGAGGATCTCTAGGATAGGCTTCACAACTAATTCAGCGGCAAACAGCATTGCAACTATGTTTTGTTCTGGTTTTATTTGTAAAATAATCATTACTACTATAATATATAACCAATATTTTTTCACGTCCTAAAGCACTTGCCAGATCTGTTTGCTTAAAATAAATACAAGAACTTAAAAGTTATACTTCCGCTAAAAACAGTGCTGAACTGCTGTATTTCGGACTAAATGGTAAAGAGAGCCATTACAATTACGGGCTTTGAGCCATTCCATCTTAATACTCATGAGTGACGATGCATCAATAACTTTATAGGATTAGCTGTAGGTGTCTAAAGACTGCAGAGTCCATTTATCATCAGGTGGATTGTTAATAAATTTTTACTTTAATTTAAAAATATAAAAAAAGAAAACTAAAAATTGGTTTAAGTTCTATAAGGTATTCGCTGCATTGCGATTATTACGAGATCTTTTGTCGCTTTAATTCATGAAAAGTACCTATATTAAAATAATATGTTTCAAATATTCATACGAAGGTAGTTTAACTTTTTTACGTGGTATAGCCATGCTGCAGTTATATTAGTAGTATAGTTGTAGCACGAATGGGTCGGCTCGACTGGGGAAGGACCACGCTCTCACAGAATACCAGCGTCAAATAGTAGCTTAATGCTGCTGTGTTTCGTATGGTGAGTGTAGAGAACCAGAGACCCTTTTTACTGGAAAGGAGGCATTCCATCTAAGTCCTCACGGGTGACAACGCATCTGCATTTTGATTCGTAATCGAGGATAGATGTAGATGTCTATGGGCCACAGTAACCACTTAACATCAGGTGGACCGTGTGCTCGTTTGTCACCCTAACCTATAAAAAACTATATAACGCTAAAGCTTTGTTAAACAAATGATTTACATTGCTTATGTAAATATTATATCTATTATCTAGCGAAAATTCCAATAAAGCGTACAACATAAACGTACGTCATTCAAATAACTTTTTTCTGATCAAATTCATTATATTTCATAAAGTTCAAATTATCCGCGAAACTCTATCATTTCATCGCTGATCTCATTTCAATTATTTTTATTTAGCTTGAGCTTTGATATCAATAACATACTTATTAGACGAACGTGAACATAAAAGCTAAGTCCAACATACGTTAAACATCAAATATATTTCGTAAATTGATTGTTGAAATACACCTATGTCTAGAATATATTTTTACATTAAACGTGTTTTTCAACATTCTTTGAACAAACTTGTAGGTATACAATGTATGCATTAAACAAATTAGACACAGAAAAGTAAGTCAAATCCTGTTTACAAATTTGTACATTAACTTATTTTAAATTTAATGTTTATGTTCTAATTTATATCCGTAAATGAATCCTGACCTGGTCACTGCAACGTGGTACCACAGAGGTAACAGAGGAGTTGAATGTTTGCCTGTGTAATGTGCACGGGGGTAAAGGCAGACCTAGTATATAAGTCCGGGCGTTTACTTAATCCGTATCACTTGCTGAAGTGGATCTAATACCTTTAACAAAATGGCAGCTAAGGTACGAAATTAAGTTTCACTCGAAAAATAAACTTCTATGACATATTTACGCATATAATACATATTTGTATATAAATCACCTAGTAATTTTGTTGTTAAAAAAAATTTTATACATATAATAATATCATAAAGAATTAATGTCTAGCCACCTCACTTTTCAAATTTGAATACCTCATTCTGTTTTTAAATACAATAAAAAGAAAGCAAAAATTTCAGAAACAGGTTTAATTTAAAAATTACGACAAATTCAAATATATATTTCTGAGTTTTATGACACATTTTTAGTTTCTTTTGTAAAAGTCATAAGGGATGACCAGCTTTTCAATTCATGCAAGTTAATATATATATATATATATATTATATTATATATATATATATATATATATATATAATATATATATATATATATATATATATATATATATATATATATATTGCATTTTATATATACAATTATAATACACATTATATAATACACAATATATAATACACAATAATTGTACTTGCAAGATATAAAATGTATTATTTAAAAAAATATAAATCGACTTGAATTATCATCGGAAGATTTGTATTTTAATGTATATGCTATGCAAGTATACTCTATCTGGTTAATAGAAATTAAGCTAAATTGATCTACTAATGTTTACGTTACAAACATTAAATAAGTAGAGGGTAAAAATTAAAAAAATACTTTTACCTGTTCAATAAATATTGCTTCCCATAAATTATTAAACATGAAATACAGAGTTGATATATCACGAAATACGGTTGACTGATTATTGATTTTATTTATTATCCACCTATTGTTGTAAAGCACTAACGGTTTAATTCGCTGTACATCGTTGATTTATTTTGAAGAAAATGTAGCATGAAAATTTATTGCAATTTTTTATTACAGCTTATTATTCTTCTGTGTGCTGTAGCCGCAGCCCACGCTGGTAACCTTTACGCCTCATATGCCGCCTCACCATATGCCACGTATGCTTCGGCTCCATACACTACGTACACATCTGCACCTATTCTGAAAAGCTACGCTGCTCCTACTATTTCGTATACCGCGCCGGCTGTGTCATATGCAGCTCCATCTTACGCTTACGCTGCACCAGCGACCTACTCTGCACCTATTGTGAAAGCAGTCACCCCCGCTGTGTCTTCGATCTCCTCGTACACAACTCAAACGTCTCACGGAGCGCCAATTCTTGCTAAGGCCGTCGCCCCAGTAGCAACATATGCTGCCGCTCCAATTGCTTCGTACGCTGCGGCTCCAGTGACCTACGCCCCTGCTGCACCTGTGACTTACGCCGCACAACCTGCCCGATTTGCCACATACTCCGCTCCTTACACCACATACGCTCATGCCGCTCCCCTGACCACATACTCTACCGGACCTATCCTGAAGTCAGGTTACATTTCTGCAGGACCTTCTTATTCGTACGGTAACTTAGCTGGCCACGGCTGGTGATCACATTCAATATTTTCTTGATGTAGTTGTTACGCCATATGTTTTTTTTTTTTTATATTTATTGTAATACAACGCGAATAAACTTTTAAATTCGAAACGATTTTCTTTTATTGACAAACGAAACATTTAAACAAATTTTTATTTAAAAATAAACGCAGAGGGCTTGCGCCCTGAAGGTTTCATATAAACTTAATTATGTGTAAAGATATTCCATTTATCCCTAATTATAAATAATAAGTAGTACCGAATATTGCTCTGACGAAAAGGTTAGTTGGATTGAAGTACAAACTTAACTTTGCAGTGGAAAAAATGTTCTCCCATCCAAGGTAGTTAGACTTATTGCAAACAAAATTTTGCAATCGCAAATAAATATTTAATGTGTTACTTGTGACCCGCCCGGCTTCACCTGGATATGATCTACTAATGTCGACTTATTTGCGATTAGATTTAAATTAATCCAAGACCATTTATTTTATCAGATTTCCGTTTTTTTTAAATCTCTAAATTCATCTTTTAAAATAGCCTTAATAGCCTATCTCCCCGTCCAAGATACCGTAGTCTAACATTTAATATTAATTTAAACTTAATACCTATATCCATTCCAAAACTCTGCAAACTCCCCAATTCCAAGGTTGTGCAAATTGGTTAATGGACACCATCACTGAGTTGACATTCACGCCTGCTCCTTTGCCAAAACTAAAAAAGTTTAAAACTTTTTTAATTTTGCTAAAGCTAAAAGCTAAAAAAAACTATTATTATTTGTTGGGTAACCAAACAAAGTTTTTTTTTAACATATACTTATTTTCATTATTAGGTTATTATACTTCTTTTTATTCGTATTTATAATCTTTCTCGATGCATGTGGTGTTTACCTCTGTAAACGATTGTTACACTTAGTTACGTAAGTTAGTTCTTAAACCATTTTGATAAATACAGTGTAATCAGAAATTGGTAAACCTTAATAAATAATAATAATAATTCCTGAAAAAAGAGTTTTGTCGTGATATACAGCAAAGTGAGCTTTAAGGGCCTACGTTTACGTCTTATGAGGTAGGTGCCCTAAAAATTGCCATATAATTTTAAAGTAAAGGACAAAACTCTATATATATATTACCTAAGTATTATTATGCCACTACATCAGTCAGTACATGACTTTAGGACAATAATATTTAAATAATAATAAGTGTACTATATATTCAATTTATAATTTTACACTCCATTATGACTTGTGTCCAGAAATTATAAATAGTTAATCGGGTGTAAGCCACGTTTTATTAATTGTTTGCACATGCATAATAATGGCCACTCATAAGCTATCACAAGGCTTGATTAATTAATTAATATATCACGAACACAATGTTTATGTTATAATACATATTGACTGCTCTCTAATATATAATGTTTTATTCGTATTTTATACGCTGCTTTACTGCTCATTCGATTACGACAAAACTTTGGTCAGTTGGTGAGTTGTTTACTGTTCATCCGATTACGACGAAGCTTTGGTGAGTTGTTGTGTGCACGCCCGCGAAGGTTTTTAACAATAAAGAAGCATTGCAAATCGTGCCGGGAACAGCTTATTATAAATAAAATGATATAAAAGAATATTATACGAAATTAAGTATAGATTCTAGGTAGGAAAGTGTTTGGGTTTTGTGACAATTTAAGCCTTTAAATTCAATTTTCAATGGACCTAATATTCAAGCCTCATCAAGAATAAAAATAAAGCAGTTAACTAATGTTGATAAAGCAGGATTGATTTATTTGAATACTGTTATGTTCTATGGTTTATTGTGGTGGGCATCGAAGAAATTCTTAAATTATACTTACTCAGAGACATTTTTAAAGATGATATCTTAACTGTTGCATCTCAATATATTTTAGATAATACGTATGTTAAAAACTATTTTTGGCAATGAGTTAACGAATTATGTTCATAATTAACGCTCAATAATAATAATAATAATGTCCTCCAGACTGAATTTCGTCCGCGGCAGCCTGCCTCAACGGAGGCTAGCCAACGGCGCAGGACAGGATTATAGTGCCCAAGTATATGCGCCAGCACAGGTGCACTCTTTATTCCTTCACTCCCATAATCCCATGGGACGGTAAACCGACACAACCGGAGAGAGATCAGGCGCAGGACCAACGCTTCCTGAGGCACGGGGGCGAGACACCGCGAAGACTCCTGACTCCGGACATACTGAGAATTTCTTGACGGAAAAGCTTAATAATTGATTTTTTGGCCAGACCCGGGATTCGAGCTGTTCTGAACAGATGTACAAGGTAGTAATTTCTGTTGTAAGCATTATGTAAGGTATATAAAAGTGATTTTTCATATAATTTATGCAGTCAAACTCAAACCTTTGTTCGGTACACAATTTTCATAGTTTATAATATTCCGAAGTGTAATTAAATTAAATTAGGTTTGTAGCAGCAAAAGGAGTATTTTTTAAAAGGCCCCAAGGCGAGCCATCCTAACAGAACCCAAGTCATCATGATCAGCAGTCACACTACTACAACAACTAGACCAACGAGATATTTATTAATATCTTTATTTCATAAAATTTGAAGTTTATAGTCGATTTTAACAAACCTTTTTTGCTAACAATTCTTAACACCATAAACAAAAGGACCCGATAGTGTAGTGGCTAAACGTTTAACTACGGCCCTGCAGTTCGCAGGATTGTGCATGCGAAATTTATGTATCACAAACACCACGGTACATCTTGCTGTAACGTATTTAGAAATTAAAAGTAAATAAATTAATATTATAATTTGTTAATATAAATTTTATTACGTATAATAATTTTTATATCTGATAAATAATAAAATTTTAATTAAAATTATATCAAAGAAAAAATAAATTGGTATACGACTCAAATAGTAACCGCCTATTACACATAATTACCTCTCAGAAAAGACAAGATTCGTCGTTGAGTTCTGCTTTGATAACAGTACATCTCAAAGTAAGTGCCATGTGAAGCCTTTTCATTCACCTAATAGGCTTTTCAAAAATTCCAACCTAATTATTCAAGCACTCAATTTTTTATAAAAATACTATTTTCGATGTTATACTTTAAGATTCTTTTGAAGTTATGTTACATATATACATACACGGATATTTTTAAAATATAAATAATGATCAATTATTTAACAACTGAACAGATTATGTAAAAAAGAACTAGCATGTATTGTATTTATTAAAAAGAGAAGTAAAGAAACAGTGGAAGTAACTCTTAGTAATTTCATCAAACGCTTAAATAGTGAAAACTTTAAATTCTATCGTCTTTTAATATCTTTGAGTATTTAACCAACTGGAGAGGCTATGCGCGTTAATTCCTAGATAAAAAAGTCGGCCAAATTCAGGTAGGCGCAAGAAAAACACACTACTGTATAATATTTCACTACAAATGCAAAATTGAATCACGTCACTTTAACTACATCATTTACGTTTGCGTTCATTTCATTTACGCATACCATCAAATTGTACACATGTCGATACACTGGTGCCGCTGTCTACATGCATGAGCAACGTATGACGAGGACTATATCGATATTTTTATCGATAAATAATTCATCATAGTCCGTTTAAAATCAGTAAAAGTGATTTTAAGTGTTTCTTCAGTCATTACAGCCCTTCACAAGTCCACTGCCGAACATAGGCCTCCCCCAAGAAATGCCACAAAGCACGGTCTTGAGCCACCTAGATCCATCGCTTTCCTGCATTTCTTACCAGGTCGTCACGCCCAATAGCGGGGGATCGCCCTACACTTCACCCACCGGTACAAGGCTGTTACTCGAGAACCTTTTTTCCCATCGGTTGTCGGTTCATCGAGCTATATGACTGGCCCATTGCCACTTCAGCTTACTAATCCGTTGGGCTATGCCAGTCACTCTAGTTTTACTGCGGATATCCTTATTTCTAATTTTATCACGCAGAAAACTCCGAGCCCAGCCGTCTCCGTAGCTCGCTGAGCTTCCTCATACGGCCACAAATTAAGGGTAACATAAAATTATTGTAATATAAAATTATGATTTTATTAGTTAAAAGACTTATGGCCAGTTTTTGAAAGACTGATCAAACTCAGATTTTAATTCAAATTTAATCAAAGAGTCGGCTATGGGTACTTTCCGCGTTGTGTTTATTCCAACCAATAAAAACACTAATGCGGCAGTAGCTTCATCGTAATTATCGGATATAACATCAAAACCGTACTTTCTACGTTGTGTTTATTCCAACCAATAAAAACACTAATGCGGCAGTAGCTTCATCGTAATTATCGGATATAACATCAAAACCGTACTTTCCACGTTGTGTTTATTCCAACCAATAAAAACACTAATGCGGCAGTAGCTTCATCGTAATTATCGGATATAACATCAAAACCGTACTTTCCACGTTGTGTTTATTCCAACCAATAAAAACACTAATGCGGCAGTAGCTTCATCGTAATTATCGGATATAACATCAAAACCGTACTTTCCACGTTGTGTTTATTCCAACCAATAAAAACACTAATGCGGCAGTAGCTTCATCGTAATTATCGGATATAACATCAAAACCGTACTTTCCACGTTGTGTTTATTCCAACCAATAAAAACACTAATGCGGCAGTAGCTTCATCGTAATTATCGGATATAACATCAAAACCGTACTTTCCACGTTGTGTTTATTCCAACCAATAAAAACACTAATGCGGCAGTAGCTTCATCGTAATTATCGGATATAATATCAAAACCGTACTTTCTACGTTGTGTTTATTCCAACCAATAAAAACACTAATGCGGCAGTAGCTTCATCGTAATTATCGGATATAACATCAAAACCGTACTTTCCACGTTGTGTTTATTCCAACCAATAAAAACACTAATGCGGCAGTAGCTTCATCGTAATTTTCGGATATAACATCAAAACCGTACTTTCCACGTTGTGTTTATTCCAACCAATAAAAACACTAATGCGGCAGTAGCTTCATCGTAATTATCGGATATAACAT